GAAGGAATAATGCACATGCCATTGAATTGATTCTTGGGACCTGCTGGCTATTGGGCTGTGCTGAGCCCTTTAATGAATTTTTGTTTATCATTTTTTGTTTATATGACTCTTCAGTAGCTTCTGACATGGAGGTGTTTTCATATAAACTGATATAGTTGGAGTGTATGTGAATTTCAGTTTATCATCACTGTTTTTAGGCGGCGGTTTTTTTTTTTTTTTTTTTTTTTTTCCTGCGAGTCTAGATTTCAGATTTCGATTTGTGAATGTTGTTTATTATTGCAGTGTCCACATTGATGCGATTGTCTGTTACCTGTGTGGAAATTGTAGGATAATGAGAGACGAGCCTTAACGCGCAATGTCATGTATTCTTCTAAAGAACTACACGAAACTTTTGACACGAAGATGTTATTTTGCATGCAGAGAAAAAAATATTCCTTGAAAGTGGATGCTTGAAAGAGGTATTAGATCGTCAATAGAGCGTATTATTGAGGTAGATATTAGCATTAAAACTGGAGGAGTTAAAGTGGACGTTCTCAGTTAGATAGAGCGGCTTGTGGTCAACCCCTCACACGTACCTTATCGAGACATTATACTTACCCAGTCCTTTTCAACACGCACAAATAGGTTATGGATCGACATGGACGACCTGTCCTGCATGTGGAGAATGTGCGCTAGAGACCAGAGGGGCACCAGTGACGCAACGATATGCCCACGAGCTCCTCCTGATTGGCGTATGTCACAAAGTGGGTCACTTGCTCCAACCATAAGCAGAAGAGGTCATTCTGATTGTATGTACTGAAAATACGCAGGCTTTTGATCTGAGAGACGCAACGTGAGGTTGAGGTGGATGAAGTTAGAGCAGACCACCAGATGGAAAAGATTAAAGAGACTTTTGTAATGTTTGGTGAAAGTGAAGGTATCTGAAGCTGAGCTGAAATGATAAATCTCAAATTTAAACAGTATAAGCTGGGTAAAAAGAGTCTTTGCTGTCCGCTTTGAAAAACAGAGAATTTTTCTGCCTTCGGGCAGCCTCTAGAGAATCATGAATCAAATTAATTACCCTAACCCCAAGTTAGACCCACCTTGAAATGTTTTTTTTTTTTTTGGGTATGGATCTCTAGTTTTGATGCAACAGTTGCAAAGCATATGGGAGTGACTTCATGAATTACACTATACAAGTTTGATGAATTTTATTTTTTTCATTGTAGAATGAATAGGAAAAAAAAGGGTAATATATATATATATATATATATATATATATATTTTTTGAATGATTAATTTTAGAAATTTTAATTTTTTTTAAAAATTAAATAAAGAATAGAGAAAAATGATATTGAATTTAGATTGGAAAGTGGATAAAGTGGTGAATAAGAGCAAAACAATATATAGTGATGGTAAATTAGGCAATATAACTTTAACTCCAAATATATAGTGATGGTAAATTAGGCAATATAAAAAGTTGCAACATAACTAGATTTAAAAAAGGTGTAAAACATGCAAAAGATTGTTTTACACTTCCAAAGATATTCCAACACTTTGATATAACTTTGTAGGTAGATAATAAAACTAATTTTCTTTACTAAAGACTCAATTTTTTCAAGGCCTATTCTAAAAAACTTCTATTTTTCTTTCAAACACATTGATTAGATCTGAATAATACTATTGGAAAGGCTTAAAGTACACCAAATAGAAATTTAGGATTAATATTCAAACACTTATATCTCAAAGTTATATAAATTAAAAGCAATCAACAAAAATAAGTTTTTAAATAGATTTAATATTTTATAAGGTTGAATTATAACATAAATTATATATTATCGAATTAAAATTCTACAAAATATCAATTTTAGAAGAATTATTTAGTCTCAAAAGAGGTTTGGACAACTATATATTACAAAAGGCACTAAAATAAATCTTTGTCAAATGACTTCACTTGTTTATTAGCTTCTTGTTACATATAGCATCATAAAATGTCAAAGTAAATAATCAAAATATCTATAAGAAAAATCTAATATTTTTTTAGTTAAAAAAATCGAATTTACTTTCTAAAGATATTTTAGAAATTATATATAATTTTTAATATTAAATATCTATTTTTGATGTCAAAGCTATACTAAACTTAGATACAAATTAATTGTATTATAACTATCTAAATTTCTTTGTTGATGATACTTTGAGGCTTTTAAAATTTTAATTTGATTCAAAAATATTCAAGTAACAACTAATATTTTTTTAATTTTATATTTTAATATTTAATATTTAGTATTTTATTAATTTTATTAGTTAATTTAATAATTATTATTATTTTTAAAAATAATATTTAGAAATTAAAAATAATTAAAAAATTATATACATACATACATCAACTTATATTAAAAAAATGGTATTTTTTTTGTTTATCTACAAAAATCAGTGATTAGTTGAGAGATAAAACCAATTATATAAAGAAAGGAAAATCTACACAAAGAAGGAGGTATAGCCTTAGTAACCATTCTACCATGTGGTTGCTTCATTCTAATATGCAACTCAATAACTTCATAGCTTTATTTCTTGTCCCAATTCCCTCATCCTATGTCTTCAATCTCAATCCCTCTACCCTTAGTCCCCATTCTTAGTTCCATCTTCCATGTCTTCCAATTCTCTTATTCTTCTTATCCACCAACTCACTCCTTTCCCTTGTCTTCTAATCCCTCCATCCCCTATTCCTATTCTCCATCCCAATCCCTTTGTCCTCTTATCTCCATTTTTCCTAATTCCATTTCCCTTGTCCTCATTTGTCTTATTTCTTGTTGCCATCTCCAACCTCCTCTTCTCCCCTCTCTTCTTCCTTCTTTCTTTCTTTTCTCTCAATTTTTTTATTTAATGCATCTTCCACATTTATTATGTATGAATTTTGATTTTTTTTGAAACATTTTTTAAGAAATAAATTCATGTAAAAATAAGAATAAATAAATTTAATAAACTTGATTTATTCATGTATGCTCTTTCTTAATTTAAATTATTGAGATGGTTTAAATTATCATAAAAATTTCATTTTCAATTAAAAAAATATTGCATAACTTTTAAAGATTATAATATTTTTTGATAATTTTTTTATAATATATTTATATCACAAGAAAATATCTATTATATATAAATATCAATAATTCAAGGTTATTATAATAGTTATACAATCATTTAGCTTATTAATTGAGTTATTTTTAGTATATGTATATATTTATTTATTTTTTAATGAAGCATGATAGCTATATACATCTAGATAGCTAATATAATTAAGTAGTGGAGAATATATGATACCATTGATCATAAGAAAATAATGTAGTAACCAATAGTAGTTTGAAGTGGTAAAAATAAATAATAGCAATTACTTTGAATATAAAAACTAAATTTTTAATATCCCTTCTTGTTGAACATTCTTTTATTAATCTAGTCATGAAGTTAATATAGAAAATATCAAATATAAACAATAAAATTCATGATATATGGATAAATTTTCTTAAGATATTGATCATATTAGTTGGAAATGTCAATCTATGAATTGGATAATGTAGTAGGAGTTTTAGAGTAGTAAATCACATAGTCATATAATTTTATAATTTTATATAAGAGTTTATTTTAATAAAGTATCAATGGTTCTTAAAACATTATACAAAAACTTACCTTATAAATATATATGCATAATATAATTTAGGAATAATATGTTTTAAAGAAACTTCTTTAAGAATCCACTTTTGCTCAAAGTGATGTTTTATTTTGATGTAGTTATTCCTTATATAAAACATGAGATTTTGAACAAGAAAAATTAAACCCATGATATTACACTTGAAATGAAAATTATATATTATAGAAATACTATCTTTATAGAGGATAAATTTAGTTGATTCATTGGATGAATGCATTGGTATCTTAGATGGATACAAAATGTGTAATTCAGTAAGAAATCTTGTCAATAAAATGCTTTTTTGGTAGCTTTTTAGAGTGCCTTATATTTCATCTCAATAGTACTATTAGAAATATTTGATTTTTTTTTGTTTGACTAATCAATTGATCAAGAAGAAATCTTCAATACATATCTAATAATGAAGCTTCAAATTTCAAGGAAATTAAGGTAATCCATATTTGTAAAGTTTTTAAGTATAAGATTTGAAAAATTCTTGAAATAAATTTAATAATCAACTATTTTTTTTACACACTTTAAAATTTGCTTAATTTCTTTCAGATGTTATTGCTATAGCTTGGCTATAAATCTAGCAACAATGTCCATTACTTAGGATATAGTGGATCTTATATAAGTGAGGTATAGAAGTTTACCAACCATCTTACAATATTGAATGGAATTAATTAGTGAAGTCCTTATATTAGACTATGTTAAATGAACAATTTGCTATACCAAATTCATCTAACATTTCTTGAAAATAAAAATATTGATAAAAAGGCATCCCTTTGAATTAGTATTTAAATTCAAATCTCAAGCATTTTTTAAAATTTCTTTGAAGTCCTTTATCTTGTATTTTGCTTGGAACTATAGTTTGATTTTACCAATGCATTTGTTATTATTTTTAGTAATGAAATGATCATCAATATAGAAAGCAAAGA